AAAATACCTTTGTTCCATGTAACCTCGCTGCAAAATCACAAATATTGGGAATAGGATACTTATCCTTCACTGTCTGAGCGTTTAACCTCCAAAAATCTCCCACAGGTCTCAATTCGTTTGTGCCCTTTTTTGACACCATGTGAAGAGGAGAGGAGTAATTACTTTTAGAGGGTCGCATGTGACCTAAATTGATCATTTTCTGAATTCCATGCTTAGCAATTTTTAATCTATCTGGAGCTAATCCCCTTGGCTTACATGAAAAAGGAGGACCACTGGTTTCAATGGAATGCATAGTATTATGCTTAACAGTCTCACTGAGATCAAGAAGCTTTGACAGTAAAGGATAGTTAGACAGTAATTTATCATAAATACAATTTGTAATAATTGTTTTAACAGAATATAAATGTGTGTTAATTACACTGCAGTTAATTTTTAAATGTGTTTTTAAATCAGCAAGTTTTTTGTTCCGTAAATCAGGTAATAAATCAAATAATAAATGCAAAATAATTCAAGAAATCAGATCCAATAATATTTGTTGATCACTTTACACACATAAAAAAGTAAAATTAAAATTACGGACGAAGTCCAAAGGTCAATACTTAACGCTTTTTGTCCATAAACTGGAATAGGGGTACCATTTGCTGCAGAAAATGTCATGATCGGTGTTTGACGCGCTTCCTGTCTGGTTGCTGAAAGAACACTGACGTCTGAGCCAGTGTCGCACAAAACATATTCTATTCGATTTTCCTGTCTCTAATGAGAAAGGCAACGAGACTCAGAGGGTAAAGCGCATTTCGCCACTACACTTTCCCTGGTACGTTTCCCTGGAATGTACATGGTGGAACACATTTTTTAGCTTTGTCACTAAATTTATGATGATACCAACAATAGGAACAGTTTGAAGCAGCTTTAGCTGAAGGGCTTCGCTTCCTGTTATAGCGATTTTTGGAAACACTGCATGATCGTCGTAGAGAAAAAACATCACTATGCAATTTGCACACTTCCTCCAGCAGGGAATCCAATTTAGAATTCTCAGAGACATTGAGAGATACACGAGAAGAAACTTTGCTTACCTGAGCGGGTGTAACTTCCAATATTCCATCCGCAATACTGGCAGCTTTCGATGAATCGAGCGGCTCAACTGACGCTAGAATAATGCTAAAATAATGCTAAAAATCAGATCCAATAATATTTGTTGATACTTTACACACGTAAAAAGTAAAATTAAAATTACGACGAAGTCCAAGGTCAATACTTAACGCTTTTTGTCCATAAACTGGAATGGGGGTACCATTTGCTGCAGAAAATGTCATAATAGGTGTTTGACGCGCTTCCTGTCTGGTTGCTGAAAGAAGACTGACGTCTGAGCCAGTGTCGCACAAACATATTCTATTCGATTTCCTGTCTCTAATGAAAAGGCAACGAGACTCAGAGGGTAAAGCGCATTTCGCTACTACACACACTGGACATTTGGCGGCATCTGGTGCATGAATAATTCCAGTAACAAAGAGTCAGGCACATTGTATTTTTCAGCCCGCCTAGTCATTACACGAAGAAGTTCTAATGGCTTCCTATCTCCAAGTTGCTCGCCGGTAAGTAATTTCCGTATTTCACTCGTACTGCTTTCTCCACAGCGTTCCGTAATAGCAGCTTTGAGGCCTTCGTAAGAAGCATCTGTACATTCCCAGAGAACGATACCTCTAACTAACGCAGCAATTTCCGGCAAATGAGCGACGCAGTAGTTAAATTTTGTCTGCGAATCCATAATAGGCTTGGGTACGACTAAAGCAAAAGTTGCTTCACACATAGCAAACCACAATGCCGGGTCAATCGGATTGTAAATTGGAATCTTGACGGCTGCTGTTTCCTCCATGTCAGTGGCTGAAGGGAAAAACACAAAAGTTCTGGAACCAAACTCTTAAACGAACAACCAGTATAAGCTTCATGCGAGTAGCCGGATCGCCATTTTATGGTCGTTGACGCCGGGTCACCATTTTATAGTCGCGTGATGGTTACGTGCTTGGTGTATATCCTTGAATTGACTCCTTTTCCTTAAACATAACCTTTATTCACACACACCATAACTTTTAAACGCAACTGAAATAACAGCACGAAATAACAAAATCTACTAAACTAAAATTCAAACATCCTATGCTCCAGCTAAGGGTGAAGTGAGCTAGTTCACTGCCAGTTTTTACATAAACCACATGACATGGATTGGCTGCGCACACAGTCGAACATCAGATTGCCACAATACATTAGATCTTCAGAATCAGCCATCCACTTTATACCGTCCCATAGGGCTTTAAGCATAAAATTTCATTATCTAACTCAAAAAATCTAAAAATTAGTAAGGTTAATGCCAGCTTTTTTTAAAGTATTTTTAATTATTTTTTGAGGAATAAGGTTATTTTTCAATATTGTGACGAAGTATAGTACTTCTTCTTGAAGGTGTTTTGCTGTATTGCATATTCTTTTAATTCTAAGCAGCTGTGAGTAAACTGTGTTGAGGATGACTCTTTTAGAAATATTGGAATTCCAGTTGGTTAATTTAAGTGTTGAAAAGTTGAATTCTCTTTGTTTGTCATAGACTTTCAAAAAAAATTGTAATCTATAATATGCAAAACAAGGTAGACTATATCATGTTGCACAGTATTTGTACTATTAAGTTTTAGGCATGAAAGGTAGATATTAGCATTTTCGATCTTGTTGAAGTTGTTGATGGCTATTACATCATCAATATATCGAAAGACGTGTTGGTAAAATTTATGATCTTCCTTATTGAGTGAACGTATAAAAGTCAATTCTCTTGTAAAAAGGAATAATTCACAGACAGAAGTTGAAAAATTACCACCCATAGGAATTCCCTGTATTTGTTTAAATATGTTGTTGTTGAATTGAATATAATTATTGAAAAGTACACAAGAAAGAAAAAGTTGCCATTTTTCGGCATTTATTACTGTAGAAATTTGGGGAAATAATTCAGGAAAAGCAAGTAAACTTTCGTAAATTTCTTCAAGTGGCAATATAGTATAGAGGTTTTCAAAGTCATAGCATTGGATATGTTCAATTTTAAGTGTATTTAATGTTATACATACACACACAATAAAAAATATGAAGATATAGCAAAAGCATGTAAAATGCAGAATATAATTACATGAAAAGTTTTTCCACTACTTATATTAATGGATTATGTAAGAAAGGATAAACTAATGTTCAATTTCAATATTAAATTACATATTTTATGTATGAAACAAATGAAATTTTACTGCATAAATGTGGGAAAATTACTATTCCTTTAAGATAAATTTCATAGGATTTCAAATTTCACTGGATACTTAATTTAATAAGAAAAATTGTTTTAAATTATTAAACAACATTTGTAATGCATGAATGCTGAACATTTTAGTTTTGTATATATATATATATATATATATATGTATGTTTTGTTACTTTTGAAATGCTATTCACTAAACATATCTCAAAATAAACCAAAAGATAATTTTTTCTGAGTTTTCTATTACTACTAGATTGCTAATTACGTCTTTGTGATTAATTATTTTGTTTATATGTATATATATTATGTATTAATAAGCAATAATTATTATTATTACCAATATATACTTTTATTTTGGCATTCTTCTATTACCAAATGCCATCTGAAATGATAAAATCGTTTGGAAAATTGGAGAACAGCCATCACTAATAATCATGCTCCTTAATGTGATTACCACAGAAGATCAAAATTAACTAGAACAATGCAGGCCCATTTTATAGAGGTTTCTAATTGTACAATAGAAAAAGTAATACTCATAAAATGCAAAAAAATCAAGGCAGAAGAGGGAGTAAATAAGACTTTTCTTCAAAAATCTTCAGCTTACCAGCAGCTAAGCAGATAAACCCTAAAACACACACTTTTATTCTCAATGGAAATTGGTTGGTTGCATATGTGTTTCTGTTAAGCACACATATATAAATCTATGAATAAAGTCCTTCCTTTTTCTTTAGCAAATGCTGCTATTCCATCAATTACTGACACAATTATTTAAATATATGAGTTCTTAAAAGCTATTAAAGAAAAAATTTATATACAGTCAAAAGTCGTTAATCCGGACTCGTCGGAACTTCGGCGATTCCGGATTATCGATTTTTCCGGATTATAGATCATCAGTTTAAATTTCGTAAGATGGCATGCAGAAATTCTAAAATTAAAAATATGAAACCGTAATTTATGAAATAAAGAACAATTATGATCTAAAGGGTATCAAAATTTACAAAAAAAAAAAACTTAATATTTATTTGTTTACTTTATTAAACATTTCTTTCAATGTAAGTTGTTTAAGTTGCTTCGTTTTATGTGATAATACTTTCGCTTTAATTCTATAAACAGACATAATTTTATGTTCAGTTACAAAGTTCTGCTGTTCAAGTCCCGTAATTGCTGTGCCGAGAATACCGACTAACTTGTCAATCGAAATTTTTTCGTTTTCACTAACTTCTCTGTCACCTTCTTCATGTCTTTATCCATTTTTTGCAGCAATTCCACTTTTTGTTTGATGGACATCGAAGCTTACTTTTGTAGATCCTTTGGGAGCTCCAGCATCGGAAATTCTATTTGACATAATCGAAACTTCAAGTTTACTTTTATAAAATTGCTCTTACAGTCTGAAAAAATAAGCCAGATCCACTTCGAAGATTAAGGAACAACGCAATCATCAACATTAACTGAAATAGATAATTTTCGCTTATACCGTCCATTATACATTAAATGCACACGCGAAAACGTATTCTGCGTTTGCGCACACGCATATGCGCAGCCCTAAAGGTCTTACGCGTACGCGTAAACGCCTATGCGCATGTGTCAACGCGGCGCATGCGCAGAAAGTTTTTAACTTCCGGATTATTCTTCCGGAGGTCCGGATTATAGATCATTCCGGATTATGGGTGTCCGAATTAACGACTTTTGACTGTATTTATAAATGCAGAAAATACACGAGTACCTGATTTTGTAATACGAGTCTTAATGCTGTACTTTGAGTGCCAGAAATCATTTCACTTTGATGTTGAAACTCTTCAATACTTTTAGCCAAAATTAAAAATTCTGACATAATTAATTTATCTAAAGATCCATCCTACAGAAAAATAAATATGCACATATAAATAAATGTATTATAAAATGAAACATTTAATTTAAAACAGAAATAGGAGATATTACATAAGTAAAAACAAAACTTTAAATGTTAAGTCATGGAAATTAATATCTAATTTTTATTTTTATCTAAAATTTACCATACCTTAGCTTTAGCTGTCAAAATTTTTGCACAACAGTCATGTGCATGATCACATACTGAACAGAGGACATCTTTTAAATTAGTTTTAAGTTTCACATAGTCTTGTTCCAGTACCATAAGTTCATTTTCACTTTCTCTATAACATTAAATTTTGTATTTTATACATAGAACTCTAATGTACAGTTTCAAAACAGAAAAATCAGTATTTTGGTTAAAATCGAACTATACAATTACATACATGTAAAATAATGAAAAATGTAAATCAAAATTATGATTTAAACTAATGGTAACCTTTTACTTCTCCCTCTCTATTCTAAAAATCGTAATAACTCATCTGGATTGCATCATTTCTCGCTCAATCCTCCTTGCATGGCCTGGGAATGCTGGTGACGTAGTTATTTTCAGAGCCTAAACTCTGAGAACTGAAATCTTTCTAACTTAAACCAAAACCTTTCTCTCTTAACAGACTGCGAGATTGGATAAATATGCAGTTAGCTTGCAGCTCTGTTGTCGATTGGACGCAATTTCATTTCGCTGTGCTTTGTTGTGCTGCTAACTACAATGTTATTTCAATTGTGATACTCCATATAAAACTGTGGAGTGCTCATTGCACTCATGATCATGTTTAATGCAAAATATAGTTTCTATAATTAGTTCATGTCCAGCAATAGAGATTATGCTTAGTTTGGCTATGTCTGTCTACAAGTCTCTCCTCTGAATGTCATCTTTCTAATAATGCAGCAGTCTCTCCAAGTTGTAAGGCTGAGAACCATTGTCAATCTGTTTCAGCTTACTTAAAGTCATTATTAAATACATGACTGATCCTATTTACAATGAAATTCTGAAGATACGTTGCAAACATTTTGCTAAATTAGTGAATTTATTATAAAATGCCATACAAATTTTATAAAAATACAGAAATATACCTAATATTTTTCAAAATCCTTTATTTCTTTTACTGTGCAATTATTAAGCGAACCTTGCTTTTTGCTTTTATCAGAAACTAAAATTAAATACTTTAAAATGTCTAATGACAATTTTTTATACACCAGGATCATTATTTTCATATTCAAACTTATAAATTTTAAGCCTTGGACTCAAGCATTGGCATTGATAGATAAATTTTATTTATAAGTATGCTTAGATTTGAAGAATTATAAATTACAAGCATCCCTCTGTTTGTCCACACTAAAAGACTATGTCATTATATAAGAGTATGGGAAAGGAGAAGGAAAAAATATGCATGGAGTCTACAAAGAAGCAAATAAAGTTCTTGCCAGCTCAGTATTTAGAAATAAAGGGGGGGGGAATACTGAAAACTAGCATCATTCAACAATTTAAAAAATAGCTTTCAACAGAAAATAAATTTAACACTGGTTAGCCATGAGACATTAACTTAGAAATGAGTGCTAATTTAATTTCATTAAAATTAATGTCTACTACAATGTAAATTTATTATAATTGACTTCATAAACAGGTTGAACCTTTTTGGAACAGATAAATCTAATTAAAACCATAATTCCTGCAACAGAAAATGCATTATTATAAAAATGATATCTAAAATAACAATAACTTTAATATCTTTTAACTTTTTTTTTTTTTTGGAAAAAAAAAAAAAAAAAAAGCACTGCAATCAAGCTATTTCAGATAGCAGGAGTAATCTTTTTTTTTAAAAAATAAAAATAAAAAATAAAAATCAAACACATAAGAACTAAGATAAAAAATCTATTTCTTGGAATATTTTAAATTAATCTACAGCAATAACTGAATTCTATATAAATAACTGACAGTTAAAGACACAATGATAGAAAATTTTATAAATTAAAAAAGAATCATGAAATGAAAATATCAGATTTTGTAATACACATAGACATCTATGCATTTATACATAAAAACTTTAATTTCAATTTTCAGTTTCTCACTTCATATTAAATAATTCGAAATGTTATATTTAAATCATTAAATTCAAAGGTGAATATAGTGGAACTGAAAAATCATACAATAAATGCAAAGGATGACATCGATGCAAATTTTCTTCTGTTGAAACATTAGAAATATGACCAGCAGCCACTTCCAAGGTATCATCCATGACTTGATACAATGCCTAAAATCAAGCAAAAATTGCTATACTTTATTATTTTAATGAGAAATAAAAGTAGGTATTAAATTTCATGGCAAAAGTAATTAAACTCTATTCACCGAACATGAATGTAAATTTTACAAATATTAAATGCTACTTAACCTCTGATAAAAAATAAATTAAAATAAAAAAAATATTTAAAATATATAGAGATAATTAAACACACTAACAAAACCATACATTACTACTTTATTCTGCTATGCTGGAAAGAAAAGTATCATTATACTTCAAATAAACACCTAAAACAGACAACTGGTATTTTCCTTCAGCAACACATGTTTGATAAAGCAATAATATCTGTCTCATTAATTACAACTTCATTTTGCTTTTTTTTCATTATTTTTGCTCTACTTATTTCTCAATTAACTACAAATTAGAATAAAGTCCATGAATAAAATAAAAAACAAAAAAATTCTTCGTTTATAATAAACACACAGTTCTTGTGGCTTTGGAATGATCAATTATTTTATTTACAAGTCAAAAATGTATTCTGGAAGTCCAAAATTCAATAAATTATTGCATGAGTTATTTAATTTAATTTAAAAAAAATCATTCTTTAAATATCAATAAACTTCCATTTAAAGTTATTTAAATAAAGGGGTGGACATAAAATTTTCTAATGCCTTTTTACACAAGAATTCAATATATATTTTTCTGTTTAATCTTTCTGTTTAAAAAAGATATATTAATGCAAAATTATCCTTTTAAAAGAAATAATAATGGCATAAAAGACATTCTACATAATAAAGCAATTAAAAGTTTAGTGACTTTGAAGTTAATTTAATCAGTTAATTGAGGTAAAGCACTTGATGGCTTAGAGAGACCTTGCATCATCTTTTATGGAATGAATTGCTCTTATTATTATTTAGGTGTTTTTAAGCATAAGTTTGATAACACTTGTAGGATTCTCCACTGTGTATTTCTAAGTTACAGTTGAAAGTGAGAACCTTAAGAACTAGTAAGCGAATAATTGCTTCAGTTCGTGAGATAGAAAACAACAAGTAAGAAGTGTGAATAACCCTTTATTATTCCAAGTAAAGTTTAACAAAACTCCATCTTGGAGTTTTACAATAAAGCTGACACTTGGGCCTGAACTTAAGAGATTAAGAATTAAACTAAACTAATCTTAACTAAAGAGCTATAGCCGAAGCTATTGAAATTCTAACAGAGTTGGCCTCTTAACGCTAACTGACTGGGAAGCTATCACGGGCCTAAAGTACGGCCGAGCATAATAATAGCTTACGAGAGAGTAGCCTAAAAAAGACGGATGCGTGCAGCCGGAATATCTGGTATCTCTCTCATTAAGACAGAAGAACTTCACATTTATATACTGCTCTTCCTCATTAGCCTTCAACACATGATTCTAAAACTATGTTCTGGCCAGAAGTGGCAAGTTGAAAATAAGAATTCATAAGAAAGGAAGTTTAACTCAAAATTTAACTGTTAATAAAATTAACATAATCCTTACACACTTATATGGAACTGGCTTTGAGGAAAAAAGGCAAACAGGTTTCACTTTAAGGAACAAATATATTCTGCAAAAGATGAGTGCTAAATGCATAATATAAATACTTATTAATATTCCTGTCTCTACCTATTCCAAATTATTACATTTAATGTTGTTTAAGAAATACTATGGCAAATTCTATGAAAAGGAAGGGAAGAGAAAGGAGCCCACAGTAAATCATAGAGGGCTGAAGTTTGTTTCAGATAATAGAAGCAATACAAGTTAAATAACATGACTGATACATAACTCACTTCTGTTTATTTATACGACAGTTTAAATGTTAGTCCCTACAACATTTTTCCTATTTGCAATTACGTAATGCTACAATTGTGTTTTCCCGTATAGCAAAGACACGGAGAATGTCAAGTCTGCCAATTGTTTAAAGATATACAATGTCTTCTTTTTGCATCAACTGAGTCAAAACATGTTCCTTTAAGATCTGATTTCAAATTATGAAACAATTAGGAATTTTGGAAAGATCTCTTTCAAGATCTAGGTTTTGTTAGCAGTGATGACATTTTGAAAAGGACACAAGTTATCCTCAAGTTGCTGCAGAATGTCAGTGCTTCCCTGCAGCAAGAGGCGGGAAATACAGAATTGTATTAAATGGTTATGGACAATTCATTAAACAGCAGACATTGTTTTGTTTATCATGCATAGATGGGAATTCATAATAAGTTTTTTTCTTTATTCAAAAGATGAAACAAAGTCTTTTTATTTAATAGACAGCCCTCATGTGTCATTGAAGATATTTGAGATGATGTATTACTTTATATTTTTTCAAATTTAATACACAAAAACAACACTTTTAGACAGGTATATCATAACAATGGTCAAATGGTATAATCTTACTCGATAAACAGACCATGATTATGTGCTGGTAGTATTTCCGAGAAATGTAATCCTTTAATTTCTCAAGGATTTACTTGCAACAACAAAACATATCTATCTATACGTGCTTTTAGACCCTTCCTCACATTTTTCCCAAGATTCATCACCTTGAGGTGCTTCTTACAGTACAGTACTAAGCAGTTTTTCATTCTTACATATATACACTTCTCTTTTCACAATTATTTCACTCCTCATACATGAAAGCTTGATTGCATTCACAAGCTTTCAAGCCCTGAATACCATTTGTATATTTTGATAATTTGGTTTTAATCTGTTGCCTTCGCTAAAATAAATTCACTATTAAATTCAATTAAAAATATTTTCTTTCAATTAACAGAAATTGTATTACAATACACTTAAAATTGTTGTCATTAAAAAAGATTAATAAATTCAGAATATAGAATAATAAGTTATGCAGACCTGAATTCGTTGTAATAGGAAATGAAGATTTTTCATTATCAACTGCAGCAATTCAACCCATTTTTGAAAATTTAATGATCGGAGCTGCTCAGCTAAGCTACAATAAACAATAGTGAAAATAATATTTATACAGCATTATAAAAATTTTATATTTTTAAAGTGAAACTTACTTTATTTAATGTAATTTTAACTATAATAACAAAGATAAAATTTAGAGTAAACTGCCAGATCATAGCAAATGATCCTCAAAAAATTTACTTATATGACATAACTTTTTACTTCATAATAAAATAGTTTAGTTAAATAAAATTTAACTCTGACAAACAGAAATAAATATGACTCAAATGTGCCATTTTAAATAAAAAATATTGCATATTTTATATATAAAGAAAATACTAATGTAAATATATCATATAATGCTGTAATTTATATACACAGATAAGTCAAAATTTTCCAGCCTCAAGTACAGAATATTTCTTTGGCAATAAACTCCTCTTTCAGATATGCATTGTCAGTATTAAATGAATAAATTTGAAAGGGCTAATCTTTGGAATATGGTAACAAGTAGTTTGGCGAAATTTTGGTAAGGCGATAAAGGTTACTAGCTAGGACTTTAGCAATAATCTGAGAAGTACACAGTTCAAGTCACAGATTATTTTGTCTCAGAGAAATGAGAGATCATGAGACATGTAATTTTCCAGAAAATTCCAATCGGGATTTTAGCTAATAAGCACTTGGAAACAATTTCGCTGCTAAAGTGCAAAATTGCCCACGTATTTGTTTGGCGCTTTTTACAAGAGTAGAGTTGGAGTTTTGTCAATTTACTTTGACTTTTTAAGTGAAAATAGGTCGATGTTACATGGATAAAGTCAAGAGTGTGCGCAATGCCATTTTTGTGTAATTCTGGGATGTTTTCTGTAAGTGAAAATAGGTCGATGTGAATCTCTAAAAGCTTTAAATCACTTTTCAAATTATTGCCACCAGATATTATTGCCCTGTATTATATTTAAAGAAATTAAATAATGAAGACTCTGAATGAACGTTTCTCGCACTGTGAAAAAACAACGATACCTAAACCCATCGAATTTTGAATAATACAGTCCTCCAGTTGAATATAGGCATCTGGAAACCTGAATTTTGAATTTGTTTTATTATCTGTTTCATATTTTGTAAAAATTTAATGAATTTTTGATTAAAGAACTCAACTGATTTCAAAGCAAGCTGTGGCAGTGTTGTATGGAATAAAGCATTTTGGCTAATCTTTGGAATATGATAACAGGTAGTTTGGAGACATTTTGGTAAGGTGATAAAGGTCACTAGCTAGGACTTTAATCTGAGAAGTACACAATTTGAATAACAGATTATTTTGTCTCAGAGAAATGAGAGATCATGACACATGTAATGTGACATTTTCCAGAAAATTCCGATCGTGATTTTAGCTAATAAGCACTTAGAAACAATTTCGCTGCTAAAGTGCAGAATCGCCCACTTATTTGTTAGTTATGCGCTTTTTATTTGTTATGCGCTTTTTACAAGAGTGAGTTGGAGTTTTGTCAATTTACTTTGACTTTTTAAGTGAAAATAGGTTGATGTTACATGGATAAGTCAAGAGTAAGAAAAATTGGCCATTTTTGTCAATTTTCTGGGATTAACTTTTTAAGTGAAAATAGGTCGACGTGTATGGATACCGGTGTATGTGCAATTCTTAAAAACACGGCAAGCAGTGGGCGATTCTGCACTTTCTCCCAATTTTGCACCTAATCTTTGTCATGATTAAGCACTTTTGTTTCATAAAAGTTCTAGCATAAGCGTAATTTGGCTAGCAGATTGTTGGAAAAAATGTTTAAAAAAAAAAAAAAAAAAAAAAAAAAAAAAAAGAAAACACTTTCAGGAGTTGCTGTAGCAGGGTTGGTCGCCAAAGTTTCGCGAAAAAATTGCCAAGTTACCATAATCCAAAGACTCACCTTTGAAAGTTTTTTTTTTTTTTTTTAAATCACCCAGATTCTCTTTTTTTGCCTATTTACTGAAAAAATTTATATGCCAGTTGATTCTCAAATTCTTAAAACTGAGTAACATAAACCTTTGATTAAATTTTTGACTTGAGGTCTCAATCCCGCCCCCCTAAAAAAAAAAGAAAAGCAATGATTGGATAATGTAATAGTGATTTGTCTCCTCCTGATTTTACAATGAAAGATAATTTTTTTCAATCTGAGAATCCATAGATGATGATTCCCAAGAAGGCTGACCATTAAAGTGTTGCCATGCTGTCGACCAATACAGCACGACAACAGAAAATACTGCTCTTTGAGTGATACGAGATTAAAAATCAAGGAAATTGCAGTCCGATTAAATCTATTTCAAATTATTGTTTTGTGCAGTTTACATGAAGAAAGTATCCACAAGATGGGTATCTCAATTTCTTTTAGAATTTCAAGCTACAGTCGATTGTAATTAATGAGGAAACAATGGTTCTATACTATGATCCTCAATCAAAGAGGAAATTTGTGGAGTGGAGAAAACTAGGTGGAGCATTATCAAGAAAGCAAAGAGGCAACAATTTATTAAAAAGATTATGGCTGTAATTAGGTACTGCCAAACTATCCTCCTGACAGAACTCTGAAGAAAAGCCTTTTGCATAAAGAGCATATTGAAGTTAAGAAGAAAATGCATGAAACGCTGAGTCATAAAGTTAATCTTCTCCATGATAATATGTCTATACATTCCATTGTGATTACTAAAATGAAGGTTTAACACATTCGCTGTCGATCATGCACTGGCGCATGATTGGTGTTATTGCTGAAAAGCCAATCACGCTCTGGCACGTAGTGTGGAGTGATATCTCAGGTACCATTCACGAGCTGGTGCACCAAAAGCATCGTCTCATTGTTTATTTTCCAAGATTAATCAGCATTACATTTTGAATATATATTCTGGCATTGGTTTAGAGTGAAGGTTAGAAACTAGTTGTAAATGTATGGGGCTTGGAATGAAAGAATAGTTTCATTTTATGCAAAGATCATATACCATTTTGTTACCATTTGTTTTGAAGCCATTTTGTTAAAAGTAAGATTCTGAAATATTAATTCAGAAGTCAAACAACAAAAATCAGCGTTATATTTACAAAATTTTCACAGGACTAGTTTCGATGGTTTTATCGAACCACCATCCTCAGCTGCAAAACCGCAAATGAACAAGATAGGAAATAATGATTAGATAAGATAAGAAAGCCTGGACAAGAATAAGCAAGTAGTGCCATCTGTTGGTGAAACCAGAACTAAAAAAACATAATTTCTTTAAAAAGGCCGAAGGTAAATTTGGATTGGAATTAGGATCGTTAACTAGAACAGAAAGATTTTATGAATGTGAAATGCCTCTAGAAAATCCAGTTCTCGAATGGAAGAAGTTGTTTTTGAATAATTTTGGCAGCAGAAAAAATTGAAAGTGTGGTTTTCGGACCAACAATGTTGAGCAACAGAAGACTTCTGTGTTTCCTTTTTTCTAACATGTGCCTCATGTTCCTTGATGCGAAATTTTAAGGCTCTTTTAGTTTGGCCAATGTAAATTAAACCACACTGGCAAGGAAATGGATAGTTTGAAATATATAGTTTGAATTAATATCATTGTAATTATCCTATAAGAAATTTATTTTCAATATATATATTTGTTAGTGATACAGTTTCATACAAAAATAAGGTATATTGTTATTTATTTTGATTAATTTTTAAATACGTTTACTGTGATTGCAGAAATAATTTTAATAGGAGGACCTGAAAGTAATGTCGCTTCTTACATTAAATTCAAACAAATAAATTTGTAACAAGTTTTTATTTTTAATGAATAATAAAGCCGATTTCAATCCCAGACCGATAAAAATCAATTGATTTTTGAGTAAAATATCTCGAGATGGCATTTTGGACATCATTCAAATTTTTTGTCACTAAGAAAATGTAAGGATCGGTATAAATGGAAATTCGAGGATGCGATATCAGGTGAATATGGTGGGTGAGACAGTACCTCCCACCCCAATTCATTATATTTTTCCAGTGTTTTTCTTGCATTGTCATATTGCAGAATGACTGACGCCTTTTCCGTTGACAATTGCCAGATATTTTTCGATTAAAGATTGGTTCACTAGATCCAAATATTCACAATAAAGGTTTACATTAACAGTTTTTCCAGGTTTCAACAATTCAAAATGAATAATTCCGCGAATACTCCATCAAACACCCAGAAGCGCCTTTTCGGTATGTAAACCCTTTGTAACCCCTATTAAAACTGCCTTTTGAGTTTTGGATTATTGTACAGGACTTAATTTTTTGTCTCACTAATCAAATGATCAAAACACGGGTTCTGTATGGTGCTGCTGAAGCAATACGTTGCATGTGATGGATAGGTTGGCTTTGTCCTTTTCGGACAAATTATGGGGGACTCAAACACTTGCTTTGCTTATCTTTCCATTCTGCTTTAAATGTTCTTGGATGGTCGAGTGTTTGACATGGATTTGCTTCCACTTCTGCCCTTAGCATGTTGTTGTCGACATGTGCAGAAACGACATTACTTTCCAATCCCCCTATTATCTCTTGTCCCGATCACGTGTTGGCCCATAGTCATAAAATTCTAAGCTTAAAAGCTAAGTAATCAATGTATAACCCATTCATGATCAAAAGCATTTGAATAATTATACCACCCTTTACTGCAGTTGCAGTACTACTGTTACTTTCTGAAGAATGCTTTCTACTAGTTTTTGATATGTTTCGACAGGAATTGCATGCTATTCTTGCACAAGAAAACTGGCCAGTTAACCATCACCAACTTTGGGCGATATAGATAATCATGACCTGCATTCTAATACATTGCACATGTTCAAATCTGGGCACAGGCCAGACCAATGTCGGAGCCTTCAAGTCTGCAAATCACCTCTGGACAGGCCATGCAGTATAGGCAGGAGCACAATCATGCTGAAAGAGGAATGAACCTAAGTTGTTGCCACAATGCGGGCAGTGCGGAATTGTTTTCAGAGTTCCTTGAACAAGAACCGGACCCACCAAAAAAAAGCTCAAACCCAAAAAAGTCACCCGGAAATTTTACTAAAATTTC